CCTGACCCCAACACTAACTTTCCCTGTAGGCCCCATAATTACAGACCCGAAAGCTCCTATCAAAGCACTGGTCCGGGACCACGACCAGGCGTAGTCGCCGGCTCGCTTGTTGGCTGAAAACGGCATTGCCTCGGCAATGGGGAAAGTATACCCTAAACCCTTGAGTGGGCGAGAATGCAGCAAGCATTAATTTGAGGCTGCATCTATAAGAACCCTGTAAGGCGAGAGTACGTGTAATCGAGGTATAGGGTAAGGTTTAAGTCAAGTGCCTATGGCAGCGACCGCACATGCAAAGCAAAGCTTACCTCTGCCTGTACCCCACACTGCACGCCTCAACCCTGAAACACACAGCTGGATCCAGGGGTTTCCGACAATAAGGCAGCCTAATATAGTACCCTAAATAATTAGTAGGATCCTTATTATAAGGACCCCCAATAAGGTGCCCCTAATTTTCGGAAACTCCCATACTCTTGCAGGAGCCAGGATTCCATGACAGAACACCCAAACCTAAACCCCTAGACCACTACTCCCTCCATAAAACCCCAAAACCCGAAACCCTAAACCCCAAATACTCAAACCCCCTAATGCCTCACCCCAAGAGCAGCTGGGGCCCGAGCACAACGCCGCCGGCGTGAGAAGCGAGAGTTCCTTTTGAGTTGTTCTGGGGCTTCGGGGTTTCGGCTTTAGGGGTCTAAGGGTTTAGGGGAACATAGAACGATAAAGAGAGTAAGATCCGTGAACCACAAGTAGCAACAAAAAAATGGGGTTCGGAAAAAACACAGAACCCCAAAGTAAGCTTGCTGAGATTTAACTGTTGGAACTCCGTTTCTGGGCTAGGAGAAGCAGTCATCCAACTTTCGTCGCAGGTCATAACGTATGAGTTTCCTACTGCTGAACTACTTACAAAGGGCGGGGTATCATTCAATGCTGAGGCACCCGGTCTGGTATCCCCCTCGGACCGACCGGAGTTTTCGGATAACCAAAGAAACCGAAAAAAGCGGTAGGTATGTATGTACGCCTGTGTTCACCCAGCCACCCCCGCCCGCATTCGGCGAGCCTGCAGCGGAGGAGAGGCGTCGTCGCCCTCCTGTTGGTTTTTGTTGGGGGTGACTGTTTGTTTTTGTTCTTTTGCCTACATCGCTAAGACACCAGCATCATTATCGCCGTCATTGCAGCTTTCGTTCACCAACCAGTCAGCAACATCAGCATCATCATTTCATTGCCACCACAACCATCAGCGCCTTTAACCGCTACCCTCCAGCATCTTCAGCTTTGTCACACACTCAGTCGTGATCGGGGCATCCTCCGTTTGTCCTAAACCATCGATCGCATCACCTTACGGCCTGCTGCCTCAGTTGCTATCGGCAGCTGGAGGTGTTGAGACAACAAGAAAGCAATGAATAACCATCATCTTTTGACCGCTGTCATCGCATTCATCAGCATCACCATAACGACCATAACCATGACCATGATCATCCTCATCAACACTACCATCATCACCCTTATCCTCCTGGACGTCCTCCTTCTCATGACCATCACCGTCTCACAGCCATGGCCATCATCATCATCATCATCATCACCGTCATCATCATCGTCATCATCACAAGAATCATCGTCTGCTCGTGCATAAGAACACAAAAAATTTAAGTATGATTAAACGTCTAGATACATATATATATATATATGTATATATGCACATACATATATACATATATAGACATATTTTATTTACTTTATATATGTAAAATTATATTGACCACCGCTGTCCTCCTATTCCTCCTCCTCCTCCTCCTGCTGCTCCTCCTCATCCTGCTCCTTGTGTGACCACCACCACCATCACCGCCACCGCCACCACCACCACCACCACCACCACCACCACCACCACCACCACCGCCACCGCCACCGCGGTACTCATGTTCATCATTCTCGGTGTCATCTGAACTGGGCATGGCCATCTGATGGATAAAGCAAAAGCCTCATGTTTGAAGCCTGATGGCGGCAACTCTTATCGGCAGCATTACACAAGACTACTATGACTGTGACTTTGCCGATGGCACTGGTCAGATTGGTCACCAACGCTTGTCTTCTCATCATTTGCCCGACTCCTAGTGTTGCCTGTGCTGCAACCGAAACCCGATAAGCTAAACCCTACTATAGGGGACTCAATACTTAGAACAGGGTTTTGGGATATACTTCATGGTAATACCGAGCCTCAGGAACAGTATTACGACTCACTCCCACCCTATATTACACACCTCGTCTCGCATCGTGGTGCCGGGGCGGCGTGAGCCTTTGACGAAGCGGCGGAAGCCTCATCTGGAGATGTCCCGCAACACAAGTCTACTTAAAGGATCATGGGACTTAGTAACTAGGGCTATAATTAAGGTAACTGTACTTATAATTACTTATAGCCCCAACTAAGGTACTTATAACCCTACTTACTAAGTCCCATGATCCTCCAAGTAGGGGCCCTTAGAAGGAGTTTGGGGAACCTTAATATAGGTAGGGCTTCGAAGGGTTGGAACATACGGATCTAGGGGCCCGAACATTAGAATCAGACAAAGATTCCTTGAATTCAATCCAGGAGTCTTAGTAGCTGGAACAAAGTCTTCGGCTATATTTATGTTATTGATATATAAATGCAACCTTCAGCATGTACTGTATGGCGTGACTTGCAATCCGGGGTTGCGCTTGCCCCGAAACGCGGGCTTTATTTAATGGATCGAGGCCTGGAGCCTTCTATGGCCTCGTGGTTGAAGTTTAGGCTCGTCCAGAATCCCGCACAAGTATAAAATTCAGGTGTCAGGTTTAGGATTTATGGAGCAGAGTAGGGTTCAGGGGGAGGGGGCCCGAGTCGAGCATTGCTGCGCATGAAATCCCAGCTTGCGTTTCTCATGCATGGGATCTGAAAGATCTTTGCGGCACTGTTTCCTGTTCCCAGCGCTGTTCGGCAGGATCATGGAAAAGGTCACTGTGACAGTCATGCTCGTGATAACGACACTTGACGCTGACGATGATGATGAAGACTAAGGCTTCTCTGAACGCAGTTGCAGTCTTGACAGTGAACTTTATCGTGGCCTGGCTCGATCCGATGGCATAGCGCACTGATATTCAGCAACAACTCTGGAAAAGGACTTCTAACCAGTTCGGTCTCTGACCAATGTGTATAAAATCCACGACTTTCGACTGTGGAGTGCCCTGTCCCACACAGCAAGTCCGCCGAAAGTCTCCGGCCCCACTGCGATTCGCGAAACCCCATGCAACAGACCACGGGCATGTAAAACAACAGTAAACAGAACGACTGGAGCCCGGTGCTGAATTTTCGACCCAGGGTCTTGGTTTAGGGCTAAGGGCTTGGGGTTAAGGTTAATGCTTTCCGGTGATTTTGTCTCGAATGATCACTGGAGGTGAGCGGCTGAAAAAGCAGAATGCGAGAAGACCGTGCTCAGCAAGGGCATGGAGGTGTCCTGGCACGAGGGCAAAACTCGGTTTGGGCTTGCCTTACTAATTGACTAGGGTTTTGGGGTGAACTATACTACTACACTCATAATAAGGATCCCTCAAACAGTATGGGTAATTATTCACGCCCATATGTTAGGCTTTAGGAGTTAGAGGTCTGTGGCAGCAAGTTTATGCTCCTCCAGGGCCTCGGTCGCCTCCATGGTGTCCGCATCGGGCCCGACCGCAACCAGACGTTGGTACGCCCGCTTGGGCATCCTGGAGACACCTCCGGCCTTGAGCAGCTAGGCGAAGCTCACAGGGGAAAAGGAGGGACCCTTAATGGGGACCCCTATCCTATAATGGGGCTATATAATGGGGATATAATGGCTATGTTTGGGATATATACCTAGGGGTCCTTTTCAAGGGTCCCTCCTTCTCCCCTTGGCGAAGCAGATCGCAGCCTGGCTTTTGGAATATTCGGCACTGCGGCCAAGTGCCTGCCTACAGGATCGAGACAGGCAGGCAGCGTTTAGGGTTTAGGGTTTAGGGTTTAGGGGGATAGACCTTGTGCATCTTTGGCTCGGCCGTTTCTCGGTGGCACGTCCCGCTGCCGCAGCCTGGTGATAGGCTCCTTGAAGAACTGTGCGGTCCTCCTCCATGCCAAAGGCTCTGTCGCAGATGGACTGAAGATGGACTACAGCTGTAGGGTACCCCATCTGTATAGTCGAGGTGGTCGGGCAAAGAAGCTACGATCAAAGGACAGCAATGCAAGAAGAAGTCCGGTCCAGCGTCGCATCAATGCTGAACGCGGCTGATCTGGAGCAACTATAACTCCTAAACGAGATTTCAACCAACCTTATATGAGCTCAGAGCTATCAAGCTTATGATTTCGAGATGTTGGGCTCCGGGCCTGGTGGGACTCTGGCCCCTTCCAAACAGCTTGCAAGGGTTCGATGAATGGCTTTCGATATACAGGGTTATATAATTGGGTGCTGTGCGGGCGCTATGAAGGCATGAAAGGGCACTCGCTGGCTTTTCGTTGAGGGGGTTCTTGAACTCATGGAACGCTTCCTGGGGTCTTTCTGGTCAAAATTGCGCTGCTGAGTGTCTATAGAAACTGAAAATCGGAGCAGCTATCTTTAACACAAGGGTAAACTGGCCCAGGTTGCGTGCAGACCACTCTGCCAGACGCCTTTGCGCCAATGCAGGTCGCAGTTGCCGCCTCAAAGAACACCGGTCGGCTTGTGGTTGAAACGTCAGGTTTAGGGCGTAGGGTTTCGGGTTTGCTCTGTACCTATTCAGCGATTGCTACACTTGTTCCAGGCTCGAGGGTTTGGGGCGTAGTACAGGGGGTCGCTGGAGGCCGGGGTTTAGTTTAGTACAACCTGTGGACAGACGAGGAACCAAGGAATACCGCTGCTTTGTTCAGGGCTTAAACAATACCTGTTCATTGCAGCACCGTTTCTGGATGAAAAGCTGTGTAGGGTGCTATGAGAGGCACATAAAGCCAACAAATCTACTACAGTGGAGGTCTGAATCACCAGTACAGGTCTAATTTCAATACAATCGATCGAAATCCTACTCTCAAACTGCGAAGAACCCTGCTCAAATCATTTTAAAACTACATTCTGCATGTCTGGAATTAGACCCGTTCGGAATTTGCTGGCAGGGTGCTGGGGTTTCGGCGGCCGGGTTCGTCGTTGACTGATTACGAGGTTTAGGGCTTTCAATGGGATTGGAGTTGAGGTTAGGGTCTAGGGGAGGTGCATGGAGTTCCGTATTTGACATGTTAGATACGGGGTGTAGGGCTGAAAGCTGCCAACCTTGGAGAGAGGACTCGAAGGAGAGCCCTTCGGACAAAACGCCGTGCAAGGAAGCACATAAGAACCCCTAACCCAAAACTCTAAGTGTCAACCCTAAACCTAAAACCTAAGCCCTATAAGTGATGGCTGGTCCAGGATTTCCATCGCTTTCGGTATTCAGGTCAGGTCTAAGTGCTTGCAATCCCAGGTGCTCGCCGGCTCTGACTGCGCCCGAAAAACTCTACGCCAAGTATCTTCAAACTGCCGACACCAATCTCGAACTCTGAACCACTCTATCTACCTATCTGTTTATCGATCCGTGTATGTCCATAAGTCTGTCTGAGTCTGTCTGCTTGGCTGTCTGTCTATCTATCCATCTATCTGTCCATCGATCTATCTACGAACTGTCTATCCATCTGCCCTGAAGCACTCCAAGCCGAACGGCTTAACGTCGTATGCTCTCAACCGAAGTCTTGCAACAGCAAGCCCCAACACCTCAAAACCCTTTCAAGAGAGGAAGCTGACATTGCCAGGGCACCAGAACAGGAAACTTCGCTGCATGAGGGAATGCCTGACTGCAGCAACTTCCATTTTCCAAAGGGTCGGCTGCCTAGGGCTATTCACATGCATACATGCATATATACACACATCGATACATCCGTACATACAACCATGCATACATACATACTTACTTACATACATACATGCATACATACATACATACGTATTTATATATATATATATATATATATATCCATACATATGTACATTCATTCATCAGCCCATGCATCCACACATACATGTTCAGTTAAGCATATATACATACATCTATACATACATATATACAAACACATATCTATGGATAGTATACACGCTGACCTGACGGTACCTCTGTACAGGAACCCTTCAGGTGGAGCTCTCAGGCTCTGAGGCATACTAGTATTAAGGGACCCCGTATGCAAGCGTATATAGCATCTGTATGATGGTAGAGCAGTGTGTGTATGTATATATATATATATATATATATATATGTATGTATGTGTGTGCACCTGAAGACAAACCCTTCTGCCATGCTCTCTAGCATTGGGTTGAGGGTTCCGATCGGCTTGGGCAGGGAGCATGCGCGAGTCTGAAGCTACTAACCCTAAACTCCTGAACCTAAAGCCGTCCAAACCTGAAGACACAGATCAGAAAAAACTTACAAAACAAAACCCTACCAAACACACAAGGAGTTGCAAAGTACTAATTCCTCAGATCCCTGTAACAGCCCTTATGAAGACAAACTGTAAAACCCTCAGCAAGCCCTTCCAAAACCCTAGAATAACACCCGAACCGAACCTTCATAAACCCCTGTATATGTCTCCGTAAATCCTTTCACCGTCCGATCCAGGCCCTAGGCTGGACGGCCCGCGCAGTCCATGCCGCGAGGCCGCGGCTGCGCCTGACTAGTCCGATTTGTTTGACCTGAGGGTGGGTTTGGGGTTTTGGGGTTTATGGTTTTGGGGTTTAGGGTTTTGAGGGTGTAGGCTAAAGCTTAGACTTAGAGGTTCAGAGGTGAATTTCATGCTAAGTACATAGGGAAAGTCTCTACATTTGTGTTGTGTGTACATATGCATCTATATATACATATATACACATGTATATGTATGTTTATCATGGACACGCACATATTTACACGTTTGGTTGTCTGTTTCTTCGTGTGTAATAACTGATTAACCCCATGTCCAGTCATATCTTCTGGAGTATCCATCGAAAGAGAGTTTAGAGGTTCCCACTAGTCTCACACATAGATGCCGAGAGCAGCCTGCTGTGATGGTAACAATTCCCAGGCGCCTCGCCTACCGACTTCGAGATTGTGGAGTTCAGGGCCAAGGCTTTGTCATTGGAGCCAAGCCCCGGAGCCAGCACCTCTAAGGGTTGCTTTCGGAGGACAGGGACAAGGGTTGCCATCTTCGGCTGAACGCTAAACCCCAGACCGTTGAATATGTCAGGGCGTGTGCAGATAGTGGAGGCTTGACCTTTTCCCGGAATGCCGGCTGCACGGCCTGGCAGCGTAGCATCTTTGGAAGTGCAGGTACCCCTACTGCCGTCTGAAGATCGAAAGGAGTTTCTTCGAACTCTCACGCCAACAGCCTAGATGCCAAACACCAGAACAGGAACCCTGCAAAAAATCGAAACAAAGCCTACGGTTGACAGTCTGCCACTCGAATTCCCAAGACCCTCATTGTCAACCCCATGTGGCGAAGATATCCCATCCTGGCTCCCGGCCCACAGACAACGCCAAAGCCCCAAACCCTCGATCAATCCTTGGGGCAACAAGTCTGGAAACACTTATTTTAAATTTGCGTATGAAGTTCCGCCGGAGGTGCTCAAATGCTGCTTCTGCTTGCAGCATTGCAATTTCCGCGCCGGCCGGGGCTGCAGAAGGGCGTTGCATTTTCATCAATGTCATTGTTTGTGCATGTGTATATCGTACAAATATACGTATGGTTCAAACATAAGCGTACACGCAAACATGCAGACAGGCATGTTGTATATACACATGTGAACCTATGTATGTATGCATGCACGCATGCATCCGTGCATATATGTATATGTTTACATGCATGTGTATACGTATATGTGTATGTATGTATGTATGCATGTAGGTATGTCGTATGCACGTATACCTATGTGTATATGTATACTTAATTTCTAGTATATGCATACACGAACATATGCCAAAACCATGCATGTAAATGCACTTTGCTATCTATCTCTGTACGTATAGGGTCCAGATGACTAGCTGACGATTCGAGTTGCTTTCCTGCTTATGCATGTCTGGTCTTGATTCTTCAGCTATGTAACTGAACATTAAACTAAGCAGCTGAACGAGTATGTGATGTAAGCATGTTTGAACTGTTGGTATGGGCGTATGTAGGTACGCCCATGCGTATGTATGTATGAGAGAACACGAACACGAAACAACAAACGCAACAAGGGATGGAGGGAGCAACTGTTGTTAATGAGGAGACCGAACAACAGGACTGTAGGGCATCTCGAACTATCAGAAGTTCACCTAACTTGGTATCGTGAACCAACCTTGTAGTAGACTGGAACGGAGTGTCGCAGTTTGACGCGCCAGAGCTGAGTTGAGACTAAGTAACTTACTACCTGCTGGCTAACTGACCATTTACTATGCAACTAGCAACTTACGACAAACTACGACGACTACTCCTACGACTCCTGCTGCTGCTGCTGCTGCTGCTGCTAATACTACTACGACGAAGACGAGAACGACGACGACAACGACGACGACCGCGACGACAAGCCACGAAGCCCTGAGCTTAGGTTGCGCCTGCTGAACCTTCAGCTTTGGGTTCGGCGGGCTGCTCCGCTACCGGCGCGGCCTCAGCTGATATTCGGGGTATATGGGGTTGAGGGTTTAGGCTTTGGAGTCTTAGGAGTTTAGAGCTTGAGTATGCAGTTCAGGGGCTTTAGAGCGAGGGTTTAAGTTTCAGAAGCTTGGGGTCTAGTGTCGGATTCAGACATTGGAGATCAAATTGCACGCAAGTAGCAAGCCCAATGCAAGCACTCACGATCTCACAGGCCAAACCCAGTCACGACCAATATGTCTGCTACACTATACCGCAATCATCCGTAATCCCTAACCCCGGAACCCTGGACCCGAACGAGCGAGCAAACCAATGCTCAAGTGCATCAAAGCACTGCTGCCGGCGGAGGTGGCCGTGTTGCCCGTGCCAGAAGTGCCTCAAGATGATCTTGTCTTCAAGAGCTTTAAAGGGAACTCCTGAAAGTTGGAATATGGATTAATGGTAGGATCCCCTATAATTTACCTTAAAGGGGTTACGATAATGATATTCCAACTTTCTGGCCTCTACTGTATGTTATGCGGCTCCTTGGGCGGCGGTTAAAATTGCGGTTTAGGGTTCACGGGCCTGTTTGTTCCGCATGGGTACTAGAGGCCTTATTCCCCAAAATAAGGTACCGCCAATCTTCGGAAATTCCCACACGGTGGTCAAGGAACAGTAGCCCTATATGAAGAGTTGGGCTTTGGGCTTGCTGCATGCACTATGAAACCAAAGCGCCGACTTGGAGAGTGAGGGGATGCAGTAAGCATATGTAATATAGGGGCCTTAATAATTAGAACAGGGATTTGGGCTCCATTCGGAAACCCCAATATAGTATTGGTAAATTATTTGGGTCCCCATATTACCTTGCTAATAGGGTTATAAGTAACTAGAACTATAGCCATGACATTTACAGCTCTGGTTGCTAAGTTTCATGATAACATGTTCAATGGTTCAAGCAGACTCTACAAGCCCCAATCCCATAGACTGCTGGAGATCTGAAATCCGGGTCTGGGGATCAGGGTGGCCTGGAAACTCGACATCGAGGACGTGGGCAGGACAGGGCACACGAGGGGTTTAACTACGGAATCGGGATGGGGTACTAGAAGAGTTCATTGTGTTTAGAGTTTGGGGCGATGATGCTCGTTTGCGGTTTAGGGGTTTGGGGTTTAGGGGTTTAGGGGTTCGCCTTCGAGGGTCCCCGACCCTAAGCAAAGATTGATCTTGCCAGCGAATGGCTTGGGTCCGCCCTGAGGGTTCTCGGCAGCGCGGGTGGTTGCGCGATCTTCGCGCTCATTGAGGGTGTCCTGGTAGAAATGCAGCAAGCCGGAGGTCCAGGTGGCTTAAGGGTGCAGCAGGAAGAGCCACGTCAGCGCGTAAGTTGAGATGGATTGTGCTGAAGGCGAAAGCTGGAGCCGTGCGGCGCTGGTCGGGAAGGTGGCTCCGGCCGTGCGGGGTGTCAGAGCCCACCCGCGTCCGGGGTGCCATGGCGGTGACTTAGACCGCGGCATCGATCGAACTGCTGACTGCTGGCTGCTGCTGCTGTATGTCGATCGAGTGAGCCACAATATGACACGACGACGTTGCTGTCGGGGCCAACAGCCCAGCCACCGGCAGCTCACATGCCATGACCCACTCCCAACACGTCCCCAAATTGCCTGAAACACGCCACAATGGACTCGCGGGTGGCCGATTTCAGCAAGAAACCCACGACAAGGCGGCATTCGCCGGTTTGAAGCTTGCAAGGAAGGTCCATGTAACCAAATAGTATGTATGGCCCCGAAGTGTTGATCTAGGGACTACCTTACAGCGAATGTGACAAATGTATGTACCATTTAGGGACATGGATCCTGAGGCTTGGCAATCACATCCCAAAAAGCCCTTCTGGCCAACCATGCAAACAGATGTGCAATCCAGGCTCTACGTTCTCTAGACTCTAGGTACCGCCCCAGAGACCTGAACCTTAGAATCCAAACCCAGGAGCATCAGCTCCATCTCAGAATCTGAAACGTCATAAACCATATCACCCAGGCCCTCAACCCTAGAAGCTCGAACTCTGAAAATAGGGGACACGAATATAGTACCCTAAATAGTAGGAGACCCCCGAATAAAGTACCCCTAATTTTCAAACCCTGGAGCCCTAAAAACCAGGAAACCATAGGAAACTCATCCTGTGGCACAGCAACACAAACTACGGTCGATGATAGAAACCCTGCATTACCCATAACAAGGAATATACCAGAATTCCCATAGTTTAGGGTCATTAAGGTAATGCAGGATTTCTATCATCAACCGTACTTGTCTCTGATTCCTTGTGGATGTGATCTCCTTACATGTTGGTCAAAAAGGTAGGATTTGGGGTTCCCGGTAGAACCCAATTAAACCCAAGACCCGAATGCACCCGGAAACCCTAAACCCATGAACCCTAAACCCTAAACCCCCAAACCCTAAATCCCTTAACCCTAAACCTAAACCCCCAAACCCTAAACCCCTAAACCCCTAAACACTAATTAAACCCCTAAACCCCCTGCAAACCCTAAACCCCTTAACCTTTAACCCCTAGGCCTGGCCTGCCGCACCCAGGCGCCATAGCACAACTTGGCGTACGCGGCCGAGACCTCCTTCAGGAAAAAACTAATAAGACTATACCGACTTTACCTGTATAATATGGGAGTTTCCGAAAAGTAGGGGGTACCTTATTTTGGGGTTACTTATAATAAGGATCCTACTATTTAGGGGTACTATATATCAGGGTCCCCTATTTTCGGAAACTCCCATATGTTTCAACCCTGCACACTTTTAAGGAGACCTAGTGTCTATATCACGGATCCTAACCTCAGAACTATCTACCCTACGAAGAGGCATAGGGTTTAGAGCTCTAGGGAGCAGGGTGCTTAGGATTTGATGGTCTGCGGGATTGGCGACGGTACCAACCAGGTGTTGCACCGAGAGCCGAGGAGTAAGGCCCTGGCCCTGTGGTCGGCGCGACCCCGGTGATCGGCAGTGTTCCTTTTTTGGTAGCCCGAAGGGTCCAAGTAATGGTAGAGTGCATACTTTTGGGGCCCAAATACCTACTAAGTACCTGATATAGTGGTACGTGGACCCTTTGGGTAGTGTTGCTGTACCCAAAGCGCCTCCAAGTCAATCCTTGCAAACCCAACTGCATCACTGAACCCCTAGAGCCCACAAGCTACACCCTGAATTTCTCAACTACCCCCAAACTCTAAACCTCTACATCCCTTATAAGTCAGAAAACTCTGAAACCCTGAACCTCTAAATCTCTAAATCACGAACTTCAAATTCCTAAAACTCTAGATAAAACCCTAAACCCTTAAACCCTGGGCCAACCCGTCCACGCCTCTCGGAGGCCCCTCAGAACGAACTCGGCCAATCGAGTGGACGAGCTCCTCCAAAGAACTTCTGAAGGCCCAGTCTGCTGCTTGACTACGCATAGCTACTACTACTGCTACTACTACTACTCCTGCTGCTGCTGTTGCTGCTGCTGCTACTGCCGAGGGCGAAAAGTTTGGGAACGGGGGGGGTGGTGGTGGTGATATAGGAGTTTATAAGGATGCTAGCTTTTGGAGTTTGGGTTAAAGGTTTAGCACCTAGGGTTTAGGGCTTTCGGGGGTTGCCGGCTAGTTGAAGGTTTTGAGATACTGTATCGTTTAGGTCTTCTCACAATCTGGTACGTCTGCTGACAGTCTAGGGCTTAGGGCTTCGAGGAAAAAGCCTTGGAAATGATCCCAAATAACGCAAACAGCAAACAAGTCAACATGGCCTCTAGCACATTCACCTGCCGGGTGGTTGCTGATGACAAGCGAGGCGTTGGGACTTAGAAGACCCACTCTGAAAGAACTAGCCGAGAAGCCTTAGCCAGACTTTTTGGGAAGACGACTTGCGCACGAGTAATGACTGTGTGCCTCCATATTCTCGAAGATTGCCGAAAGCTGTGATATTGAAGATAGAACCACCATGTCTCCCTATCTGTATTCCGTATCTGCGCCGCATCTATGTCTAGAAACCTCATCATATATATATATATATATGTATACATATATGTATATATGTATATACATATGGTCACCCCCCCCGTTGACAGACCATGCCCTTTCAACTCAGTCGTAGTGCATGGTCTGTGATCGGGGGGAGGTGGCACTCAGCTTTCAAAAACTCAATTCCAAAATTTCCAAAATTCTCTCCCCTAACTTTCCGGATTTCCAAAATTTCAAAAATTTCCGAAATTTCCGAAATTTCTAAAAATTCCAAAATTTCCAAAAATTTCCAAACTTATGTGTTGGAACAATTCTGTCCACTAGGTCGGGCCGTTTTGGAAATTTTGGAAATTTTGGATTCTTGTAATTTTGGAAATTTTTGAATTTTTGTAAATTTTGGAAATTTTGGATTTTGGAATTTCTGGACCTCTTGGAATTGATTCTCAGGAGGGCTGATTGTGACCCATCCGATGACAGACCATGCACTACGACTCACTTGCAAAGGCAAGGGCTGTCAATACTCATGCCCATATTTAGACGAATATCTCTCTATCTATCTATCTATCTGTCTATCTATCTATACATATATGTATTGATACTCCTACATATAGTAATTGCCATTGCGAATACTGACATTGATCATTTGTTGAATGCTCAAGCTAATACCAGCTTTACTACTAATATTACACTTCTATCAAGCCTAGTACGAATATGCATAACACAAATACTAATATTGATTAGTATTGCTATTAGTACTCCTACGCATATCAATAATCATATTCATATTGATAATAGTGTATATTAATACCAATACTAACACACACCTGTATGTACAATGTACATAAATATGCATACCATTATATTAACATACAAATCCTTTAACTCACTCATGTATTCAGCTGTAAGTATTTCCACGTGATGAAGAGTAATACTGATGCGAATGTAGATCATCAATAATATTATAGTACTAACGCTAACACTACTGCTAATACTTAACACAATATTCAAACTAACATCAGCATTTACATAGCTATTGATACTCCTACGAATACGAATACGTAAACTCTTGTGCGTTAACAGTACTGCTATCACCAACACTAATACGGACTTTGATAATCTGCTGAATATTTAAGAAAGTCACTAGTATTACCAGCATGAACACTCATATTGTGGCTAATACGAGTATAAATAGTCCTAATTCTAATAATATTGACATTTACGCTCCTACGAACACCAATAGTATATTCATATTGTTGTGAAAACTAATATCATTACTAAAAGACACCTGCATATACGAATGTACATAAACTACATACCACTATCTCAAGATACAGATATATACATTAGTGCATTCATGTATTAATGCTTTGGCATAGGCATATACCCATATACCAATGTAACAACATACTTCTCGTTGTTGTATGAATATACTCTATATATATGTGACTATACTAATATACGATTACTGCAATATGCAAGAATACCGACATGACAAGTTCGTGTACTAATATGCCAACATACTTAATACTTTTAAATGATTAGACAATACATGAATATAGTACACATACTAGTATACTAATACGCTAACGTACGAATATACTGGTCTGCTAATATACTAGTAAACTAATACACCAATATACTAGTGTATTCATACACCAGATGTACTAACATGTAAAATATACTAGTATACAAGAATGCAAATGTTTTACTGTTCGAATACATTGATGTATTGATATACGAATCTGCTAATATACGAGACTATCAATATACTAACATATCAAAACTAACTAGTTCTAATATTGATACTAATACTAGCACTTCTGCGAATAGAAGCTGCTATTAAACCCAGTATCAAGACTGATACTGATACTACTCGTAGCAGTGGTGCTGTATTACTGACAAAGACACTGGCACTAGTGCTAACTCTAACACGAACATGAGCACTAACACTAATTTATAGTTGGCAATACTGATATGTATACTTACAGCAAACAATAGTACTAATCATACAATAATAATACTCACCCTAATACCGATACTACCACAAAACTATTACGTAACTCATGTGCCGCACGTCTGGTGCATGCGTCACTCATTCTGCATGTGTCCTGAGTACATGGCATGTTACATGTACATATACTATGTACCTCATGTAAAGGTTTTGCTTCATAGAATATCGTCGTGCACGGTGTTTTTTAGACCCGAGGTCTGTCAATGGGGGGGGGTGAGCATACATATATATATATATATACATATATATATATATATACATACACATGCAGACCAGAATCCGACAGCTGGAAACCTATCCTCCCAACCTGGACTCAACGCCCGGCCCCAGACCTGCAAAACCCTCTCTGCACCCAAAACCCAGTAGCACCTTTCCAGTGCATACCTACACACAACCAATAGCCCCCCCCCCCCCTCCCGAAACCCCCGCCCTTCTCCACAAACCGAAGCACCGCCAAAAAGCACTGAAGCCCAAAACCGTAGAAGACTCCGACAAAGCCCACCAACCTGAGACCCTTATTTTTTATAAACCCTGTGTATTTTCAAAAACGTACAACCTTTATAAACCACCCAACTTTCAACAAGATTCCCAAACATTTTAATTCAATCCTCGAAACCCCAAACCACGAATCCTAAACTCCTAAACCCCAACACCCGCCCCAAAATCCTAAACCCTAAATCCCCGAACTTAACGTCTCCTCTGCGCGGCACGGGCCGCAATGCCCGTCACGGACTGGAGGACGGCGCCCCTGTTCCGTAGCTTCGTTTGTCTTTGCGGTGCCGGGTTAAGGGTTCAAGAAGGCTGAGGGCTAAGGGTTTAGGTCTCGCGTTTGTGGTTTTTGTTAGGAGTTGTGCAGTGAGTGAGTTTATGCAATCAGTCTAGGAAGTCTAGGAAAATCGCGCTTCTAAGAGGTGCAGCATTGGGGGCACGTAGAGTCTAGGGCTTACTTTAGGCAATGGGGCCCGGGTCATTCCTTTGACAGGTCGTTGAGGACACAGAAAAGAATGGGTGTTGCGGGATTAAGGCAAAGCGTTTACCCAAAGGGTCCAAGTATCATTCTGGTATATACTTGTAGGGCATTTTGGGGGTCTAAGTATATACCATGATGATACTTGGACCCTTTGGGTAGGGTTTAGGGTTGAAGGTTTGGGGTCGCCTCTTTTCCTGGGGTTTATCAGGTCTTGTGCTGAAGGCTTGGGGCTTGAGGTTGCCCGGAAGGGGCATGAATGAAACCTATACCATCTTAGACCGCAAATTGCAACCCAACAACAAGCTTAAGCCATAACACACCAATTCCAAACACTCACCGCGCACACACAGACCTTTGCAGACATGTATGTGCGTATGTATGTATGTATGTAGGTGTAGGTGTAGGTGTAGGTGTAGGTGTAGGTGTAGGTGTAGGTGTATGTGTCTGTGTCTGCATCTGCGTCTGGGCTGTGTCTGTGTCTATGTCTGTGCCAGCCTGCCTGCCTGCCTGCCTGTGCGTTTAATAGTATGTAAGTATATAAGTAAGTATGTATGTATGCATGTATGTGCACACATGTATCTGTCTATGTATGTTCGCATGTATGTACGTAAGCATGTACGAATGCATGCATGCATGCATGCATGGGTATGTATATACTGCATACATATGTGCGTACGTATATGTATATGTGTCTGTGTATGTGTGTGTGTTGATGCATGTATGTATGTACGCACGTAGGTAGCTAGGAAGTCTGTACGTGTGCACCGTCCACGACGTGCCGCAGGCCTGTCGCCACCGGTCATCCTTGCCCGCAGCTGGCTTCGCAAGGATGTTAGCGAATCCTGCAGATCTGCTACTTTCTCAATCTTGCTTTGCATTTTGCCAGTTTTCCGGGCATATAAGACATGGAGCATAGCGTTCCCGATCCAGGGTTTAGAGTTTAGTGGTGCCTCGGGGTAGGGGTAGGTAGTAGAACCTGCAACATGGTTGTTGCAGCAGGTGAACCTAGATGCCCAAGGGCTTTTTTCAAGAAATCGGCCAAACCAACAACATCTTCAACAGTCTTCGATATAAGCCCTAAACCCTCACATGTAAACCGTACACCTAGAATCAACAAAAAAAGCAATCCTCATAATTTCTCCGATCAAAACGCAGGCTAAACGTTTCGGGTTTTGGTTTCAGGGCTGGGGTCCCGAGTTTGGCGTTTAGTTTAAGATTGGGTCAAGAGCTGAATGGCTGGGACACTTGGGCAGCATGACGACGGCAAGAGCTTATCACACATGTGCAGTGCTTTCTTGGTCCCAGTACTGACATTATCTTGGTGTGTTCTGACATGGCTGTTGGACTGGCTGCTTTCTTTCAGTTAAACAAAGTTGCTGCTTGATGTTGCGTTGTCTGATGGTGCTACCGTCATCGTTGGAAATAATGCTTGCAGCTTGCACCTAGGTTTGACCTTGTCGTCCTTGCTAGCTTCATTCTACCTTCACCCAAACAACCTATGTGGCAAGATCGAGCAATCCAAAGAAACTTCGCATGTAGCCGGCTCCTCTTGCTCTCGAATCTCCTGACGCAGTGAGGGTACTGGGCCTATAGCTATACTGAACTTAGAACCCTAGCAAAAATAATATAGTTATAGCTGTTTCTTAGGGATTATACAATAACCAAAAATTAAGAAAAAACTAAGTACCCCTCAGTAGAGTTCAAAGTCACAGGAACTTCTGTCTCGCACGGAAAACACTCTTAGGGAAGTCTTAGGGCTTCTAGTTCGGGCCCTGAACCCTAAACCCCTCAAACCCTAACCCCCCAACCCCCTAACCTATGTACCGTCTAGGCTTGAGCCCTGAAAACTCCGAGGTTTGACTTAGACTCCGAGTCTCTTGCTTGAAAGTCTGGCTCCACCTTACCTATAGTCTCCATTGTAGTTCCTTTTTTGGATTAATTATATATTAACGATCCTAAAAGGTAACCCCGAAAAGGAACTACAATGGAGACTATAGGTAGGATGCAGTCAAGACAGGTATTCACAATGCATCGAAGCATGCATGCTTTCAAGACTCTTGCGAGAGCTAGGCCTGGCCTTCTAAGCCCGACTCACACCCTCGTTTCCTTACTTGCTTACCTGCGTTACTAATGTTCAACACGTCTAACACCTCCGACGGCTACGTTTCGGGAGTTTAGGATTGGGGTCTGCAGTCTAGCATTCAGGGTTCAAGCATATGATTGAGATCTTTCGACGGCTGCTACACGAATTTAATGCATGATCCACTAATCCTAAACCTCAAAGAAGGCCTTGTCATCGAGTGCTGCCGCATTGAGATTCCAGTTTGCACCCTTATTGTCCCCTTCGACGGATGCGTGCAGCGCGTGGAACACGAAGCGAGCCGTTCTGCTCACTGCGGCTGTGGCCGGATACCTGTCCGGGCTAGCTCGGCATACTTTGGACCCATGATCCATCGGTCGAGTTCAGCGCTCAGCGTCCGTAGCTCATAGCCCCATGACGCATCCCAAGCCGAGACGTCGCCGCCTGCGGTCATGCTGATGGCATGGATGTCCAAGTGCTCGCCGAGCTGCCGTGTTCGTTCCTCGACGGACAGCCCTTTCACAGCGAAGCGGTGGCCCCTCATGCTCAAGCTCCAGCTGTCCAGTACGGAGCCAGAGCAAAAGATCTTGATGGCTCAGGTGCTTGAAAGTTCCCCAAAGCCTGTGAGCCCTTGGTCATGAGCTCAACCTTCGCTGTGAGGGGGTCACTCTCGACGAGCGTATGCATCCACTGCACCAGAATCTTCTATCGCCAACGACAGGGAAGCCCGCGCTCGGCGTTTGGTGGCGCCTGTACCAGCGTTTCGTCCCCAAAGCCTCAAGATCTAAAGCAATTTTGGAACCCTTGCAACAGAGCTGCATAACCCCCCAAGAGAGATACATAACTCGAAACCCTGCAAGTAGCATCCCCTCCCTCCCACCACAGCAAAAAGGCCTCCCCAATTATACACGATAAAACCCTGCTGGAATGACCATAAACCCCAACTCCAGTTGTTATGGCCCCTCCCCTAAATCCCAAATCCGACTACAACCGGTCAGCTGGCCTTCTTGAGTTTGGCATTCTCCGCACGGAGTTTCTCCAACTCCTCTGGTGCCATAGAAGCTTCAGGGAGGGCCTACTAGGGTGCTCTGAGTTGCCATAAGTCTACATAGCGGACTTTTGAGGCAGGTGTTTTTGAAGCTTTGATGACAAGGAACTTTGGTCTAGGCTTTCGGTTTGCGAGCCAAGGCCATGAAAAGTCAAGCGAGATCCAAACCCCCAAACCCTACACGACTTTGGTGAAGAATTCTGAAGTACTCAGGGCCAAAAGGTTATATATAACAAACGCGAACACAAGGCCTGAAACAAAGGTCCGCGGTCGTGCCTATGCTGCTGAGTTGTGGGCCTGGGCCTTCGGATTATAGGTTTGTGCTTGAAACTACACGCTACATAAACCCCCTAGACATCAATTCTACTAAACCCTACAACCCTAATCCCCCTCAGACATCAACTTCATAAGGCGCCACACCGGCAAATTTGCTGATTGCCCGGCCTCGACGTCGGCCATAGTGTTGGCCCTGAGCCCGCGGTTGCGGATTTAGGGGTGAAGGCTGGGGGGTTTAAGGCATGTGCTGAAGCATTTTGGCTTCAGTGCTTTCGTAGAATTTGGGGTTGCGTGTTTGCGATTTGGGATATAAGCTTAACATTTGGTTTAGGCTTCAGGGTTTAGTTTAGGCATGTTGTTGCAATTTCCCTTCACACTTGTCTCCAGTGCACTTAGGCGGTTGCTCAAAGGAGGTCTTGAGGTATGATTTAAATTTTAATTCCTGCACATAGTGGGGGGGATCCCAGAGTTCCCTAGCAAATCTCTACGGGCCCATGTACCCAAATAGTATATATACTACTATTTGCTTAAGAACCCCCACAAAATAAAAAATATATTCCTTATAGGGATAATATAGGGATTATTATTTTTATTTTTTTGGTGTTTCTTAAGCAAATAGTAGTATACTTCGGCCCACAAGCACCGACATAGGGACTACTTCAAGGCCGATGTATGTACTACTTGGGTACATGGACCCTTATGGAATCTTATGGAAAGGTTTTGCTTCCCATGGTTCTTGCAACTTATCCCGTTGCGTGGTCGCCTGAGTCTAATACGGCATTTTCATTCCTCTGCACCGCACCTTCTAGCTTATAGCGGACTCAGGTTTACAGGGGCTTGGAAGTAACCAGGGAGAAGGAAGTATCAACTTTCATTTCAAAATGGATCTTTTCAAGACAAGGCCCATTAAAGAAGTGATCAACAAAGTATAGTACTTCAAGGACGAGCTTATGGCTTAGGATGCTTTTGGACTTCGGTTTCTTGGCTCTGCTTCAGTGAAGAACTCAGGTTTAGGATGTGCTCGAGGTCTGGGAGGTCGGGTGGTCGATGTAGACAGAGGATATATCCTGCATTCAGGGTTTTGGGGTGTGAGGACGTTTGCTGGTCTTGGCAAGCCGGCATTGGCCTGCATAAAGCTTGGCGCGCAGCATAGCTCCATGGTTTCAGGTTTGTTGCAATCGGGCCCGAAAACCTAAGCCCGAAACCGTAAACCTATATGGGGAAAGCAGGGATAGGGATAGGATGGGATGGAGCTGATGTAGCGAGTATAGGGGTGAGCACTCTCGATCCGTAAGTAGCGGGCTATGGCCCCAAGTAGTAGGTATTTAGAAAACAACTCGAAGGAACATAAAGATTAGACAAATAAGTTTTCTTTTCCATGTCAGACGTCTCTGCGTTACAAGTCACCGTTGTCTCCGTCTACTTCCGAGGCCAGTTTGGGACATTCAAACAAACCCTGCACCCAAACACAAATCCCACACCCAAAAATGCACCCTGAAGGCAGCACGAACTCGAATGCGTGTGTGGTGAGACTTCGAGCGCACATGATTTGGGACCTCCGGGCCTCCTGGCGCATGCAGGAGAACAGTCCAGTATATATATATATATATATATATATATATATATATAATAAGGAATCCCCAAAATAGTAATACACCGAAGAGGCCTTAATAATTAGAACAGACGTCTCGGATCTTCCCGGAAGGGTTTTTGCCTTAGAGTACCTAGTCAGGGAACACAGTAAACATGGACCCTGGACCCTTAGGGTTCTTAGCAGCTCATTGTTCTGGATTCGTTGAAGGCGAGCATCCGCTGCCGCTGTTATGCACCCTTCTTACCGTTGGTTAGTAGGGAATGGAGGAATGGGGGTACACTTATAACTATTATTACTATCATTCTCCCATTCCCTACTAACCAACGGTAAGCCTTAACATGTTCAGTGAGCCTTCTTTGAAGGTGGCCGCAGACGCATGGCCAAAGGCGCTATCAAATGAGTCGACAGACTCCGAAATGTCTCAAGGCATGGAAGAGCTTCGTTTGCAATTCTCCGGTTTCCAGGGTCTGTGGCCAAGGAAAGGTAAACACCGAACGCTGCATCTGAGCTTCTTCTGCCTACAGACACCTCGGACCTAGGACCTGTAGGGATTGTTCGTTAAGTCTGGGCCCGAGAAGGCCTGGTGTCCGATTTAATAAACCATTCAGCCTACAGAAACAGGGTCTCGACTACACATCCGATGACAGGCTTCGAAGCGATAATTCTTGGAGTATCGCAGATGTGGAAGGGGCTGAAACCAAACTCCCAAAGTGCGAAAAGCGAGCCACGAGGCTTCTGAAGCACTACTCCCGTGAGGTGCACATGTCGCGTGCTGTGGCCACGATCGGACAGCGGTCATCAGTTTGACAAGGCGGGCTTGGGTTACCTTGGGCTTTATTGCTTAGGGAAATTCGTCCCGGGGCTGTGCTTCGAAGTTCGAGTCCGCCTTTCATGCCGCTGCAGCAGAGCCCCTCACACACGCCCACACACACAAGCACAAGCACGCCCACACACACACACACACACACACACAGACAGAACGCGAACGCACACAAACAAACACTGACACATGCTCTCTCTCTCTCTCTCTGTCTCTCCCCCCTCTCTCTCTCTCTCTCTCTCTCTCTCTCTCTCTCTCTCTCTCTCTCTCTCTCTCTCTCTCTCTCTCTCTCTCTCTCTCTCTCTCTCTCTCTCTCTCTCTCTCTCTCTGTCGCTCTCTCTCTCTCTCTCTCTCTCTCTCGCTCTCTCTCTCTCTCTCTCTCTCTCTCTCTCCTCTGCTTCTCCCCCGCTAAACAAGTACCTGAGGCGATCTGGACCTATTGTTGTTCCGGTCGCAAACAGCAAACCCTGCACGATAGTCCGATACATCTGCAGTCAGGCGACGACCTGAGGCGCACGAGTACTATCCAAACGAGTAAGACACTGAAAATGTGGCTCAATCTAGCTGCGCAGCACTCGACCCTACTATCAAAACCACATCTTTCAAACAACCGTTAGCATCATTGCCCTAGAAGTAGGCACGTGCTGACCCATGCTTGTGCCAGCGCTCCATCCTGTTTTCCCACGGTGCACGACGACCGTGAAGCTGTGCAGGAGAAGTTCGTTAGCAGATGCTCCGACAGTTCCACATGCGCCACGCATCCCGCCTTCCTAACTCCAAGAACAAGGTCATAGACCATAGCGAAAGAAACACGGCTGTACGACATGCTTGGTATTCTTCAGCAACCTTTCTTGATCATACCACAGGCTTAACGTAGATGTGGGAAGATCCTTTCAAAAGAAGAGTCCGTCTTCGGGGGATGTTGGGGGTGAGTGCTTACGGGCCAATCTTGCAGAGGTAGCTACTCCGATAGTTTTTCAAGCGTTGAAATAATGTCCCACACGATAACAGTAACCACGACTACAATGATTGTTGTCCTGCCAGCAAAGTCACAGTAATACCGACGCGGGCGGCACACTGAACCATAACCCTGAACCCCAAACAGTCCAAATGCCCTTTCTACCCTGAAACTAAACAATGGCCTAAGGCTATTGCAGCACTGCCACCACCTCATCATCACCGCCTCCACGTGCTGCACGACTCCGATGCCACTACCCTAAACCAACCGTGGCCCCTAGCCCTAAACCCTATCAACCCAACCCTAAACCCTATCCCTGGCACTTCAAGCGCGCACACCCTGACCTCGAGCCGAAAAACAGACAATTCTACATGCAGAGGCCCTGCTTCGAACAAAAAGCCACCATCCTGAGGCCTTTCGAAAGAGTTTCGGATTTACCATGATTATGATGATGATTATTATTGTTATTATTGTTACTAATATTGTTATTACTATTACTACTACTATTGCTATTACTATTAGAGTCTCCATCGTAGCTCCTTTTCGGGTTAACCAGTTTTATGTGTAGGATCCTCTAATGGAGATTTTGGTTAATCCAACAAGGGAGCCACAATCGAGACTAATTATAGGTAGAGTCCATAATTCAGCGGCTGCGGGTTTAGTTGGGGTTCGGTGCCTGGTGCAGAAAGCTTTACAGACATAATTATACAAAGCCCTACAGACATAATTATACAAAGCCCATAAGACCATAAGACCCTACAAATCCCTATGCACCCGTACTGAATGCGCGGGAACTGCCGGAGACGCCGCCCAGCTGTGCTGGGGAAGCTTGAGGGACCAAGTATGCAAGTTTGGAGCTCGAGGTTTTGGGGCTCATTCGAGTTTACGGTAGATTTGGGAATAAGGGTTAGGGTTTTGCGTGGTAGGGTCTGGCAGGGCTACCATATATGGGCGTTCTAAGATAACATGCAGACTGAGCATCCGCCCCCCCCCCCCCCCCCCAAGCTTCCGACATCCGATCGCGTCGCACGAATGGATTCGAGGTGGAAGCCTAGAGCACCCTACCTGCGAATCTTAAAGCCATGCAAGAACATGCTTTGCCAGACAGCCTATACTCCAAATCTTGCAACCTACCCTAAACCCTAAACCCTAAACCCTACACTCTAAACCCTAACACTAAACCTACACCCGGCACTTCCCTTCAAGGGCCGCAAAACTGAAGCGGCAAAAACGGAGCCCAAGATCTGGTCGCTTTCGCAAACCGGTCGAATGCTCTCTGTCACTACCGCGGTCATAGCAACTACCCATAGGCCCCAAAGTAGTTCCTTTTTGGGGTTCATACATAGAATCCTATAATGTAGTCCCAAAAAGGAACTACTTTGGGGCCTATGGGTAGAACTAGAATGCTTGGAGGATCATGGGACTTAGTAAGTAGGGTTATAGGTATTATCAGTACAGCTACCTGAATTGTAATTATAACCCGAGTTACTAAGTCCCATGATCCTTTACGTAGACTCCTGCAGCAAGCCTTACACTTACCCTCCGCCCGAGGCATCCTCAGCTCTGAAGCCTAATGATGGGGCCTTAGCAATTACCTACTTGTCGGGATCTATAGGGTTCCTTTAAAGGGATCTATAGGGTTCCTTTAAAGGGGTCTATAGGGTTCCTGTAAAGGGATCTATAGGGTTCCTTTAAAGGGATCTATAGGGCTTACCTCCTTGTACCCTCAAATAGGGGTATATGGCCCCAAATAATGGGTACTTAGGGTCTAATCTTTTCCGGGCCTAATCGAGGGTAGATGGAGGGTCTCG